TGGCTTTTGAGCGAACACTTCTTTGACAAATAATCTACAGCTGCGATCTGTAATTCTTACTGACCATCCAGCGGATCTGACATATCCCGCTTTTCCGGCTTCTCGGTAAGTGCTTTCTTTGCAGATTTGATAAATTTGCTACACTCTGCTCTCTTGTCCGTCTGTTGAGACCTCTGCGGCACCATTCTGCTCTGCAGGTATGAGTGAAGGTGTCAAACCTTTGGATGGTGAAAGTTTTGTGTATGCACCTATCGTTATTGACATGGCCAGTGAAATGACCCATCGATGCATGTGTAACGGGAGCAGCAGGTATGATGTGACATGCTTTTTTTGAATGGGCTATTCAAATTCAAGTCTTTTCTCGTCATGGTCATCCAAAAGGATAAGTAATCAAGTTGGCTGACAATGGATGTATGCTACCCTACGCACGCACGCACGCACGCCTACGTATACTCCATATTAGCGTGACTTTATGCAAGAAGAAAGTCACTAAAAAAATGAAATGTTCTGCTTGACTCTTTCCTTCATCATTGGACTCACGCAGGAGTGCAAAAGTGATGGACATGAGCATGTCCATCCATTGATCAAAATTGTACTTTCATCTGCCGCTCACACTTCACATGCATCGGTGAACCCTTTGGCTGGGAAACAACTACACCGATTCTCAAATCAAATCTCGGCGAAACTATTTCACCATTTAAAGCTCTAACTCATTCACTACCACCTGTAAAGCAGGACATCGCTGCAGAAGTTTCAATGGATAAGAGAGCCGAGTCAAGTGATTATATCCGAGAAATGGAGAGAGTAGTTGCCGAAAACCTAGAAAAGCGGGGTATGTCAGAACCATCGGATGGTTGGTAAGAGTTATAAATAGCAGCTGTAGATGCTTTGTCAAAGAAGTGCTCGTTTGAAAGCCCGAAAAGTGAGATATCTTAAAACCATCGGATGGTTAGCAGAGAAAACTAAGGATTACGGCTGCAGATTGTGCAGGTAGATCGAAGCTATAGAGAAAGGCATCGTGCAAACGTCAACAAAGCGTGACATCTCAGATCCATCTGATGGTTGATAAGAACTCAAGATGGTCAAACATAAAGCAGCAGCGATGTAATATATCAGATATGTTGAGGCTAGCAAGGAAACAATTGTCGGGAAGCCGAAAGAACGTGATATCTTCATTCCATCGGATGGTCTAAGGAAAGTCTAGAACTTTAGGTCATGCTAGCGAATGGATGGTGGTTTTGATCATATAACATGCATGTGATTTATTGTAAGTTGACCTGTCAGATTCGATTATGACATACTTGACCTAAAAAAAAACCTACGAATTCTGAAAATTGTGAAACGA